AGTAAGTGGGTCCACTCAAAACTTTGATGTCCACCAGCTAGTTGGCGTCACAGGTAGCTAGGGTTTGAACGCGAGTGTGTCAGTGTAATTGTGCCAACCTGGATTATGCACTGGAAGGCCTAAAAGGTGGGGTGAGCAGACGCATTACTGTTAACTCACTTTTTGGCAGAAGGCAGCTGTTTTACCGCCTGCCGCCCTTGGGGGGATGGGGTTGGGCAGGGGGGCCTTAAGGCGAAGCCGGGCTTTTTCGCTAGTGAGTATTATAATAAAATTATCTAAAAGAATGAATTAAGAGGCTTATTATACTAGCATTTAATATAATTTCATTTTAACATATACTATATGGCTCTTTTTTAAATATATTTCCAAATATTTGCTTTTTTGGCTCTCTGAGTTTAAAAGGTTGCCGACCCCTGAGTTAGACAATACACTGTAGGCTTACATAAGGGCTGTGGTTGAGTACTTCGTTAAAGTTGTGAAAATTCCCATGAGAGAATGCAGAAGAGTAATTGGCGGGCCTAGTATGCTTATGATACATTCACGTCAGACCAGTTCATTTATGTGGCAAGGAGGTTCAAGTTAAAACGTGTTGGTCTTTTCGTACAAGTGAGTTCTGGGTATAAAGGGGAGGGGTCGATTAGAGATTACTGGTTAAGAGTCCGAGTTTTATTCTCAACCAATCCTCGACGTGCATCAACTCTTTTACTTGCTCCTGTGGAACAGGTAATATTTGTCACACGAGTCGATGCTTATCCAAAAGAATAAAGGAACACCTCCCGGCATAGCTGAGAAAACGTGAAGTCAGGAGCATAAACAGCTCTATTCTGGCGCATATGGTTGTTTCTGGGCGTCCTGTGGACCCCTAGGAAGACATTCGGGTGATCTATAAGGTCCCACCAAACTATCCAAAGTCCCTAGGTCAGCGCCTGCTACAAATGACAGAAGCCACCGCTACCTGGCTGATGAAGCCGGCATTGTGTGCATAAAAGAACCCCCTACAAGCTCCGACAGTCACTTAGCGGCATGCACTCGTCCGCACTTTATTTGTCTCCCTTGTCTCTCCCCTAGACTGGCTCCAGCAAACTCTGCCCTCATAACCAGCTTTCGCTTATCGATGCCTCCCTCCTATTTCCATGACTCATTTGTAAGGAAAAATGAAAACGTTTTAACTTGTACCCCGTTCCCATTTAAATGTACTGGCCCGACGAGGATTTCTCGAAAGCATACGTACGCTCGCCAATTACTCTTCTGTTTTCGTTAGAGTTAAGACACGAAAATGTGTAACCTTCCTGAAATTGTGGGAAAGGCTACCCTTATTACTTAGCTGGAGCGTTCCTATTCTGCCTAATTGCTAACCTTAAACCTTGACTTAACTCTCCCCGTAATATTAACATTTATTCTTTGGCAAGTTAGTGCAGAGGCATTTGAATTGCCGGTGATCATAGTTCTCATGCCCTGTTTGGCAGTCAGCGCACTAGAAGTGAATCCTATCGAGCAATGTTATTGCTTAATGTACCTCTATACATCGTGGAGCAGTTGAATCCAGTCAATGTAAAATTAGAATTAAACGATTCTGGTTTTACATTTGCAGAAATTCCCATCAGAGAATCCAGAAGAGCAGTTGACGAGCATACGTCGTGCGGACCCTCACTAGGCTTTCCGCGCTTTCTCCTTCCCCCCCTCCACCACCTCGTCCCTTTTCTACAAACCCTTGCAGCCGCGTAACCAGCCGCCTTCTATCGACCTTCAGCCCTCCCCCAGTCCCAATCCCTATTCCTTTGACTAACATGCATGTAAGGACGAACGTATTTGACCACATATTTGCCCTTCACTTCCTTCGCATATAAATGTAATGGGTCGGCGACAATTCATCGAAAACTTACGTATGCTCGCTAACTGCTCCTCTGAAATGTAGCTGTCATACCTGCTAGTTGGAGAAAGACTGAATCGGCTAAGACACGTTTTGTCTGAAACGAGTTATCCTACACACTACAGGGTGTCTGAGACGTTATTGCTTAGGCTGAGAAAGGAGAAAGAAACATCCAAAATTGACGGCTAGGACGCTGTAATTGGCTGAGTCTGAGAGCCAAAAGTTGACTTATTAGCTTTTTCAGCCGGTTGTCACAGTTTTAGCACTTTCATGCTCTACTTTCTGTTCAGACCGCAACAAAAAATCGATAAAACCTTTCGATTCTGCCCTTAGGCATTTTGAAATGCGTTCCGCCAGAAAATAATCGATAATGCTTACCTTGCAGATATTCTCCTGTCAGAAATGCTGTCTTTTGGAGCAGGCTTGCTGCTCACCTGTCTATGTTTTCTGCAGCAGATAGATGCGCACATTTCAGGAACGCGGAAACCGAATGTTTGCGTAAATATTAGCACGTCGGGGGAGCGTTATTTTAACGAATCGGATGAAAGGATCCTTACCTTCACTAAGGTTTCTCCAACAAAGACGCCGGTTTTGAAGGCATTTGCTGGCGAGAAAAGAGCCCTGCGCTGCATTCAGTCGAAACAACGAGAGAATATTGGCTGGTTTATCAGTAAAACCTCGCCTTTTTCAAGGGCCACCATGAGCCGGGGTCTGGTTCGAGTGCCAGAAGAAAGTAGCTGCTATCGCATCATCCACCAAACCAACCAGAATATTACTATTAACATACTGGAGGTTTTGGTTCAGAAGGAGACCATCGGTTTCTTCACCTGCGCCGAGGAGACACCCTCGGATACTGATAGAAATCCAAGTATTTGGTCGGCGCTCGAGGTATACCTTATAACGATGTATGAACCAGCTGTGGAGGTATACAACCTATCCCTCCATGCCATTGCTGACTCCTGCGAACGGGCAAAGGCGA